AGTTCACGTTCAAAGTGAATCATGAGACGCTGCAAGGATCTGGCAGTGAGGGCACTGTTGTTCTTATTAGCTTTTGTTAATGGTGCAAAGCAAGGGAACCATACCTAAATTGTTCGGCCACCTCGATATCTCCACCGTCAAGCCGGCAGCCAATGTCATAGGAGAATCCCCATTCCTGTTCCAGAATTTCCGCCTCTTTGAAAGTGTTCTTGTTGGCATTCAGCTTCCAGTTGAGTAGCCGGAAATAGTATTTCATGGCATCCAAGACCGAATTGTCAAAGTTCTCGTCGACACATGGCGGCAAATCCCAGCCGGGTTCTGGCCTCGAGACATCGAGGTAGCGGAACTTAATATCAACCGCCACTTTCATCAGGATTTGAAATTGGGAAATCATCTGATCAATCAAAATGGGCGCTTGTTGTGCTGGGTCTTTCATGTTCTTGGCATAAGACAGACGGACTCGAATGATCTCCTGGATCAACCGAGAGGGGAAGTTAATCAATGTTAGTAGTTCTTCGATATATGGTGGCAGGTGCCGCGCGGCAAACGCTTCCGAGTTTTCGATCAGAGTGCTCTTCGCTTTCTGAATGACGACGAGGATGCGAAGAAGCATGCCGTCCTTGTCCTGGAGCGTTTTCAGGCCATCTTCCTTCATAATGCGATCAAGGAAGGATGATCCATCCGAAAGATCATCTTTGGCAGACTTGACCCTCGGCTGGCTGAAATCAAGAGCCTCGTTCCCTACCCAGCTCTGCAGCACAGCCAGCTCGGTGTTGATGAGAGCCGTGATGTTGTGCCACGCAAAGATGGCTGCGCGACTAGAGGTAAATTCCTCCGAGGCTGCACGGGGGTTTGCAATTTCCATTTCCTTGTGCGAAGAGTAGAGAATCTCGCATCGCTCGACCTTCTCCACGATATCCTCGACTTGCTGTTTTGGCGGTTTCCCGATCTCAGTTTCGCCTTTAATCTGGAATCCGATGATATCCTCAATTATGGGGCCCAGATGTGACCGTGCATCCTCAATCAACTTTCGCTGCAAAGGAATACTTCGGCCGCACGTCCTTGCCCGAACTCCGATCCAAAGTGCATAGCTCTGGGCCGCCGACCGCTTTGATTCCGCAGATCCTATGAGTCGCTGTTTTTCTTGTTTCACTACATCTCCCTTCAATACCGACGCCAGCATGGAATGCCACTCAAGCCGCTCCTGGTTCTTGGGATGCTTCAGTTCTTCCGCACTCGGTAGATTGTCGTCAGGGAGGAAAAGTTGTGTATCAGGGTCGTAAGAATCATCTTCAAATGCCACTTCGGAGGAAGGAGAGGGGTCCTCCAAGTCGCCATCCCCTTCTATCATGTTGGGTGGCGCGTCTTTGGAATGGTGATACCAGGCTTGTGGGTTCGCTCGAATCCGTTGCACGTAGGCTTTCTCCTGGGCACGGTATTGCGCGTTCGGATCCCGTCGGTTTCCTCTTTTGGCTGACGAAGATCTCTGGCGGTCTTCCTGAAGGCTGATGTATTGAGGCGGGCGCCGCTGTGGGGCATACGTATTCGACGGCGTTCGTACCGGGGCGGACGGTCGCTGAGGTCGCAAGTCGCTAGCCATAGGAAGTCCATCAGGCTTGTCAATAAGAGTGGTAGCGCCAACGCTAATTCCACGTGGCCGTGCCGTCGGGGTATTGGACCATGAGGTAAGACTGGGTGATAGGGTTGGAGGGGAAGATGCGATGGTGCTTGCAGGTGTTTGGATTTGCTCGTCGACGGTCTCTCCAAATGATGGGTTGGCCCTCACGGGGTACTGAGGGAATTCATCAGAAGAGCCTGAGCCATCCGAATCAGGACTTGGGATTTCCGGATGCTGCATGGTGGTTATACCGTGCGAGGGTCCGGGGGAGCAGGTCTGAGTGTAGGACCAAGGTGATAGGAGGCGGATTCTGTGGCGGTGCGTTGTGGCTAACCGGATGACCCATGTCCCCACCCATTACTGTTTGATCTGCTGGGAATCTTTCCTGTTTAGATTTCCCTCTATATTAAGTCCAACCAAACCCTCGCACGGAGTACACGCGTCCATTTGAAAGTCAGTTGCTCCATGGGACACTATCTGTGTGATATAGCAACATGCTCCATCCTGGTAAAATCTTCTGATGATATTTGCTTGTTCGTGGCTCTTCTCTTGTATTCTAGATTGTAAGAACTGCATGCATGTCTAAGTTAGAGCTATTAAATATATTCTATCGGTTCTATTATCATCTCATACTACGTTGGTGCTTACGCTTTGAATCGGTAAAGGTATGTTTTTCTACAAGGAATATTCCGATCCACTCGAGTGGTATTGAGGTTTATTATGACGTCCGTGTTTTTCCAAGGTTAGAACATCTGCTTAGTAGATTTTCTATGTTCCAGTTCGAGGATGTACATTCTGAGGGGTTTTCTCACATTATATAGTCTCTTCTGACATGTGAAGGGGCGCTCAAGTAGACGAAATAGACAAAAAGGTGAATAGAGATTAGCATACTTACATGTAGTCATTGGTCAACAGGACAAATTCAAGTTGTGAGAGATGGCGAGAACAAAGTTGAAGTGGAAATTATATGAGAAAGATGTGTACATTTTCTTCAAATTCGCTCTATGGACTTGTAGTGCTTATGTCAGGTGGGATATTGCAACTACGGGCGATTCATTTAGATTAACAAATGCAATGAAAGAAAGTATTATCCCTTCGGGTAATAGAAAGCCAATATTTTTTGAGAGTGACTTAGTATTGCTTTCTCTATTTACTACTGTTGAGCACTAGGTGCGGCGCCACAGCAAGCAAATTTAACAAGCGAGCACATTTTGCCATATGTTACAGGGAATATATATTTGGATAGTGCTAAACCTCTACTGGAAGAGAGAGAGAATATATGTACGTTTGTGTGTGGCTATTGAGACAAGATGTTGCAAAGTATAACTAACCATCCCTATCAGACGTTACCTATGAAACTACCGAGTAGAGACATGAGCAGATAACATGACTGGGCATGTTAAACTTCCAAGCTTCAAAGAGCTAGTGTACCTATTTTCAAACTATAGAGGTTTTGCCCCTGACTAGAGCAATATTGCCTTTAGGTACGGAAGACGGACAGAGTATATACGTACAGCGTAGATCAAACACCGTCGATCAGTGGATCAGTGGATTCGAGAATACAACATAATCGAGGATCATTGACACTTTGCTGCGGCTCTAAGGACATCACCTGCACAGTCTAATAATCCAAGAAGGATTGAAGAGGCTACGTATCCCATTTCCTAGCTGGTACCAGAGGCAAGTCACCACGGAATAAAGCATATAGCATGCCCAACCTGACCTCTAACGCTCGGACTTTGTAGATACATAGGATGATCAAGCCTCCGGTCTTGCTATTGAAGAAAACTAAAGCAAGAAGAACAATAGTCAATGATGCAGGAACTCCGCATATATTCACAGATCAACAACGCTGCGATGTGAAGTCAAGTTCTTAAGTTATTGAACCGAGAGTTCGCCAAGGTCCACGTCGGGATGCCGGATCAGCCTCTCATAATCCCGGCCAATGAAAAACTGGATGCTTATCTTGACTTTGTGTACTTCTGTTGCCGACTTCGTGGTAAAGAGTTTAGGTTTCCCGCCCCATGCGTTCTGCATCGTCGTGTGGAACCGGGTGTTAGAGACTCGGAGAATGGGGAAGCCACTAAGAGATCATGCGGAGAGAATAATATGCCAGGGGCAGAAGTATGAATCTTCAACAGTTATGTATAGGCAGATTTCTATGCAAAGATACGTAAAGAAACTGCACACTATTGCATTATAGCTGTCTGTTTCCTCACAGCGACTGATCTGTGACCTCTCCCACATTGTCAGAGGCCATCCTTGGATGTTAGAAAAGAGTTCGGCAAGGAAATACTAAGTAACCCCTCCCACTGTCAAATGTATACGAAGTAAAAATTGCGTGTGTTGACTTCATGTAGCCTTGGAGGTATGAGATAGGGGAAATCAAATTGTGATTGGTTGGCGCAACACGAGATTGAGCCCCGATGATAAGAGATCAAACGTCCGGCCTGGAGGGTTTGGGTCACCAACTTCACGTTACACATACCAAGATACAATTATTATGGAAATCACTATATCCAAGGCACCGGGGCAGTTTCCATGGGTCATTAAGGCATGAACTGGACGTATTAAACAACGGACGGGATTCAGCCACAGAAAACAACTTGCCTGAGAATGATAAGCAAATGTCACTGATTGGCTGCCCTCAATTTCATATCTACAGCCAGTCGTTGAGCACCCGTTTAATTTCGATCCCTATTATTTCCTATTATTCTCTTCTGTCACTGAAATGACCCAATCTGTTTATCACTTTACTACAATGTCAGTTGGACTTGCATTCCCCCTGCTTATCGGGGGTCAATGCATAGGGCTTGAGATGCAAACAAGGTCCTATTAGATCGTTCTCAAGGGAAAATGTACAAATGTAGAGAAAACAACAGGTAGTGACACAGCAGTGTGAACATGGTTCTAAGAACAGATACCAAATATAACTGAAGTATGGAGTATACAAACGCAAGGGCCCGTAATTCCCCGGTCAGGGTCCATGGAGTATATACCATATCTGCTATGAAGCCGGTATGGCTGAAATGGAGGCGGGCTTGGCTACCTGCTATCGGTAAGAGTAGGTGAATCATATCAGAAATCAGAATGACCAGCTCCCACTATCGGAACTAATATCGATGGTCTGGTAGCGTTCTAGCGTCTGATGGTGGAGCATTGTCGGTTGAGACTGCCAGTTATTTAATTACCAGGGTCTGTCCTTACAGATTAGACCTATCACTTCTCTCCTTTCATAGCCTGGTGCTTGGAAGTATTTTCGACTTCTTTCTCTCAATCTCCTATCACAAAGTTTTGGGAAACCTCTTGGATCACTCCATTGCGGCTGCCTTCCAACTGCTTATAACACTTGCAATACAATTGGATTAGCCTCGGTCTCACCATGGCCGAATACCCGGTTGAGTACAATGGTACCATCGCAACTGGTGGTGACTCGCTCCATGATGACTTGAACATCTTCTACAGTGTACGTTGTGTACCTTAATAGGAGTCAATTCAGGAGCTTGGTAGCTAAAAGTGGTAATAGTCCGGTGATATCGCATGGGTCATTGTGTCGACAGCCCTAGTGCTGCTGATGATTCCTGGAGTTGGGTATGACTTGACCAACCCCTTCCCTAAACACCCAAGGACTCTCACTCATTACTTGATTATAGATTCTTCTACTCCGGTCTAGCTCGTCGAAAGTCAGCACTCTCATTGATATGGCTCTCGATCATGTCGGTGGGTGTGGTTTCATTCCAGTGGTTCTTCTGGGGTTATTCGCTGGCCTTCTCCCACACTGCCGGCAGCTACATCGGTAACCTCGACAACTTCGGCTTCAAGGGCGTTCTAGGTGCGCCATCCGTGGGAAGTACCAAGGTTCCCGATCTCCTGTTCGCTATCTTCCAGGGCATGTTCGCCGCTATTACGTGAGTCATTATCATCAGGCATCCATCATATGGATGGAGATTCTCTAGGGATGGAGATCCTCTAGAAACACAAATTGACATTTTCTCTGTGATTAGTGTTGCTCTCGCCGTCGGCGCAGTCGCTGAGCGTGGTCGCATGCTTCCCTGCATTGTCTTCATGTTCATCTGGACCACTATTATCTACGACCCTATCGCCTGCTGGACATGGAACTCGTCTGGTTGGGTGTTCAAGCTCGGGGGTCTTGACTTTGCGGGTGGTACCCCCGTCCACATTGCCTCTGGATCTGCTGCCCTTGCCTACTCCTTGATGCTGGGCAAGCGTCGTGGTCATGGTACCCACGAGCTCAACTACCGCCCTCACAACGTGACCCACGTTGTCATCGGTACCGTGTTCCTCTGGGTCGGCTGGTTCGGATTCAATGCTGGCTCTGCTCTATCTGCCAATCTTCGTGCAGTAATGGCTGCCGTTGTCACTAACCTTGCCGCCTCCGTTGGAGGTGTGACCTGGTGTTTGATGGACTACAGATTAGAGCGCAAGTGGTCGACTGTTGGCTTCTGCTCTGGTGTCATTGCTGGTCTTGTTGCTATTACCCCCGGCTCCGGATTTGTCACTCCCTGGGCTGCTTTCATCTTTGGTGTGGTTGGTGCTGTTGCATGCAACTATGCTACTAAGCTCAAGTTCCTCCTTCATATTGATGATGCTCTCGATATCTTTGCCGTCCACGGTGTCGGAGGTGTGGTTGGAAACCTCTTGACTGGTCTTTTCGCTGCGTGAGTCAGCCTACTTCCTGACAGGATTATCCGATCATGAACTAACCTGAATTGACAGTGATTACATTGCGCACCTGGACGGTGTCACCGAGATCAATGGCGGCTGGATCAACAAGAACTATGTCCAGCTGGGATATCAGCTTGCCGACTCGGTCACAGGAATGGCTTACGCCTTCTTTGGAACATGTATTATTCTCTTCCTCATGAACCTCATTCCGGGCCTTAGCTTGCGCGCACCCGAGGAAGACGAGATCATGGGTATTGACGACGCTGAAATTGGCGAGTTTGCTGTAAGCATTATTGTTCCTCAGTCGACCCAAGAGACCCTTTCTGACACTTTATTCTCTAGTACGATTACGTTGAAGTCACCCGTGATGTTGTCAACAGCATGGAAAGCTCGGAGGCTGGCTCCAAGCGCACTGTTACACCCGTAGGCGAGGTTATTGACACCAAGGCTTAGATCAGACTTGATCTGATGGCTGTTCTTTCTTTAATATCTAATATTAGGCAAATGCCTTTCTTTCTTTCACATTAATCCTACTTATTGTCAGTTGCAAAGTGTCTTGAACACTTATTATCGGAGTGTATGTATCTGGGATGCTCTCCAGAGACCAATTCTCACTTTGCTAGCATTCAGATACCCAAATATCAAATTTCATTAATCATTCCGGGGAGAGAACCAGGTTCACAGAGCGGGGGCAAACTGAGACAGTTTATATAGCGGTGCGACACGAGCAGTCTCTGAAGCGAACAGAGGCAAATTGAAGAGTACTGTAGCCATGAGTCGCAATGCCAGCATTGAATATGTATCAATTCTACTCCGTAGAGCTGTAGAGACTGGAATGAGGCGGGACCCACCACTGTGAACCTTCCGGAACGGCGCGCCGAGAGATTCCAGACATCGCGACCGTCGTACCAGCTTCCCAAATCATCGCAAACCCTTCACGACCTCCACAACGCTCTGGGCACACTGTTTCTTCATCCCTTTCATCTGGTACCTCTTTCAGATAGTCTGTCCAACGGCTTGTCTTGTGAAAATGGACTTTCCGACCGATGTGGCGGAGTTTGATAGCGACCCGCGCATCTCGTACTCAAAACTGGACAACACCTTCCTACTTGAGACGAGTGACGGTCGTGAGTTCCTGTTCAATAGTATTCTGAAGAGATGGGTCGAATCGGTATGTGATAAAGGCATTGGAACGCTGGCGCTTTGTGATGGGTGTCCACAATGCAGGCTGACAACCCCCGGTGCTAACTGACTTGCAACTTTAGATCGACGAGGCGCTTATCCGCAAGCAGCAAGGGTACGGCTCTGATGACGGCGATACTGAGATCATTCATCCGCGCGACCGTAAGAAGCGAAAGAACTCGCACGATGAGGTAAGTGTTCTGGGTGTCGTTTCCAAGGTTGTGGCAGCTTCATGACATTGATAATTGACTGTCTTCTCTTCTTTCGCCTCCTAGACCGACGAACCCAAGGTCAAGAAGCCCCGTGTGAACACCGCTGTGTGGGTCACCAAGATCCCCGGTGACGCTGAGTTGTCGGAGATTCAAGACTTGTTCTCGAAGTATGGAATCCTTGCTGAGGAACTTGACACTGGAAAACCGCGAATTAAAATGTACACCGACGAATATGGCAATTTCAATGGCGAGGCCTTGGTCGTGTACTTCCGGCCGGAGTCAGTGGACCTCGCGATTCAGTGCCTCGACGAGACGGACTTCCGAATGGGTCCCCGCAACCCATCTGGACCGATGCGTGTTCAGCCGGCCGACTTTTCCTACAAGCGTGAACAGGATGTGCAGCCGAAGGTTAGCATGACTGTGAAGGAGAAAAAGAAGCTTAAGGAGCGGGCAGAGCGGTTGAATAAGTGAGTTTGTTGATCGTGGCGGTAGAGTGTTTCATGCTAACTCGACTGTGATAGGAAACTTTCCGACTGGGGTGACGATGAAGCTGAGCAGGTCATGGAGGCGATGAAGGCTGCTGAGGAGGCTAGAAGACATGTGATTTTGAAACATATGTTTTCACTGGAGGAACTGGAGGTTTGACGCACCATTCCTCTTCCAAGGTTGCCTTGCACGAATATGGACCTGCGACTGACGTGTAATTACAGGAGGACCCGCTCGCCAGTATTGAGATTCAACAGGACATCGAGAGCGAGTGCTCTAAGATTGGCCATGTGACCAAAGTGGTCGTCTGGGACGGGGAAGCTGATGGTGTTGTTACTGTCCGATTTGTGGCATCAGCCGATGCACGTCGCTGTGTTCAGGTAGGCCTCTCGGTTCGAATCGACGTGAAAGCAACTGCTGACCATCGTTTAGACCATGAGCGGCCGTTACTTCGGAGGCAATACTGTTCTTGCCTACATCTGGGATGGCGAGGAGAAATTCAACAAGTACCACCCCCGACGAGACGCAGCGGGCAAAAAGGTAAACCCTCTGGATGCAGACAACGATGAGGCCGAGCGCCTTGAGCGGTTCGGAGATTGGCTGGAAAGCGGCGGAAACCAGAAGACCGACAAGAACCAGGAGACCGACCAGAAGCAGGAGACCGACACCCAGAAGACTGACGATGGCGGGGACAAGAGCCAGGAAACTGGTAAGAACTAGTCCAACTGAACAGAAAACGCCGAGATCCCAACGGGATTAAAAACGGCGAGAACAACCCACCGAAAACACCCCAAACGGTGGGAACTATGTACCAACTGAACGAATTTTAAACGAGAGCTACTGAAGGGCAACTCCTTCCAAGTGAATGGAAAGCGATACCCAACTGAACGAATCCCAAACGGCGAGAGCTACTGAAGGTCAAGCGAGTACTTCATGTGAATGGAAAGCGCACCCAATTGAACCAATACCCAACATGTATGATTAGTCCAAATTTTTCCAATTGAACGATTGAAACATTATTATTTATGTAGTTGTACATGTACATGTAATTATAGTTATAGTTGTAGTTATAATAACTAGTAGGTATGTAGTACATAGGACATAGTATAATCCAGTATCACGCGCCCCAGAAATACGCAAAATGTGGTTCGCACCTCCCCGAGTCCCGTGATGCAGCTATACCCAATTGGGCCTCCCCCCCTGAAGTTCAGTTGTTGACTTGTTGATCCCACACACACCGCTCAACTGGCTCTCCTGCTTTCTCTTCTTCCCCATCCTCCCTGAATTGTCACCGGTTCTCCTTTTTTTTCTCCATCTCTTTTCTAATACCTTCAAAATGCGTGAGATTGTACGTTATCCCCTCCAGACGCGTCTTTTGTTTTCATATGGCCCCTGAGCCACGACCCCACTCTCACCAGATCTTTTGCTAACATGCTCTAGGTTCACCTCCAAACCGGCCAGTGTGTAAGTTTGACGTGGAACATTCTTGGAAACACTCTTGGATTCGTGGGACTAAATTGGAATTGGGTTATAGGGTAACCAAATTGGTGCCGCTTTCTGGTAAGTTGCCGAGGGTTCTTTTCGCGTTGGGTATCAATTGACAAGTTACTAACTGGATTACAGGCAAACCATCTCTGGCGAGCACGGTCTCGATGGCGATGGACAGTAAGTTTAACAGTGATGGAGTTTCCGGTGGATCACACGTCTGATATCTTGCTAGGTACAATGGTACCTCCGACCTCCAGCTCGAGCGTATGAACGTCTACTTCAACCATGTGAGTACAACGGCTGGGGACTGATTAATCGCGCATCATCTGATCGGATGTTTTGATAATGTAGGCCAGCGGTGACAAGTACGTTCCCCGTGCCGTTCTGGTCGATTTGGAGCCTGGTACCATGGACGCTGTCCGCTCCGGTCCCTTCGGCAAGCTTTTCCGCCCCGACAACTTCGTCTTCGGTCAGTCTGGTGCTGGTAACAACTGGGCTAAGGGTCACTACACCGAGGGTGCCGAGCTTGTTGACCAGGTCCTCGATGTCGTCCGCCGTGAGGCCGAGGGTTGCGACTGCCTCCAGGGTTTCCAGATCACCCACTCCCTGGGTGGTGGTACCGGTGCCGGTATGGGTACACTCCTGATCTCCAAGATCCGTGAGGAGTTCCCTGACCGTATGATGGCCACTTTCTCCGTCGTCCCCTCCCCCAAGGTCTCCGACACCGTTGTTGAGCCTTACAACGCCACCCTCTCCGTTCACCAGCTTGTTGAGCACTCTGACGAGACTTTCTGTATCGATAACGAGGTATGAAACGCGTGGGAAATTACTGACATGAAGAATACTGACAATGTTAGGCACTCTACGATATCTGCATGCGTACCCTCAAGCTCTCCCAGCCTTCCTACGGTGACCTGAACCACCTCGTCTCCGCGGTCATGTCCGGTGTGACCACCTCCCTCCGTTTCCCCGGTCAGCTCAACTCCGATCTCCGCAAGCTCGCCGTCAACATGGTTCCCTTCCCTCGTCTGCACTTCTTCATGGTCGGCTTCGCTCCCCTGACCAGCCGCGGTGGCTACTCTTACCGTCAGGTCAACGTCCCCGAGTTGACCCAGCAGATGTTCGACCCCAAGAACATGATGGCTGCCTCCGACTTCCGTAACGGCCGCTACCTCACTTGTTCCGCTTTGTTCCGCGGTAAGGTCTCCATGAAGGAGGTTGAGGACCAGATGCGCAACATCCAGAACAAGAACCAGAGCTACTTCGTTGAGTGGATCCCCAACAACGTCCAGACCGCTCTGTGCTCCGTTCCCCCCCGTGGCCTCAAGATGTCTTCCACCTTCGTCGGTAACTCCACCTCCATCCAGGAGCTCTTCAAGCGTGTCGGCGACCAGTTCACTGCCATGTTCCGTCGCAAGGCTTTCTTGCACTGGTACACTGGTGAGGGTATGGACGAGATGGAGTTCACTGAGGCTGAGAGCAACATGAACGATCTTGTCTCCGAGTACCAGCAGTACCAGGAGGCCTCCGTTTCCGAGGGCGAGGAGGAGTAGTAAGGATTCCCCACATCACCCGGCTTTCGAGTATATCGACTAACGAATATTCCCCCTATTTTTAGCCTCGCTGAGGACATTGTTGACGAGGACGTTTAAATAAATCTCCTTGGAGATTTGTTCAAAGTAATACCCTTGTCAATCCTACATTCTCTACCATTCGGACCGGCTTTGTGGGCGCAAGCCCTGAACCCAATTTGTTTGAGCGCTCCTAATTTACACCCTTTTTTGTCTATTTTCCTACTCGGCTTGGGTGATTTGTTCGACCCCTCCAGAATAGCACATAGTGGAAAAGAAAGTGACGAAATGACTTTGCATGGCATTTTTAAGTCGTGTTAACTGTAGTATTGAATATCAAGCTTGGTGCCGCAACAGCTCTATATCGCCAATGGCTTCAGATGTCTTGCTCGTAACAATTTCTAGAATAACAGGATAACCCCCCCATCGGATCAGCCTAACCGTCACAACCAATCCCTTGCCTTTCCACAGCTCCTTTCTACAGCTCAATGAAAAGGACATTTCCCAGTCCGATACCCCTTCAACTCCAACAAGGTCTCATCCAACTGCTTCCTCCCCTTCCCCTCGAAATACTTCGGTCCAACATCCGGAATACTATATCCAGTGGGATAATACTTATCCCCCTCATCACCAGGCACAGGCCGCCCTAGAGCCCAAGTCAGCCAGGCCGTTGGGCCCCAGCGGTTCCAGAACGTGGGCTTGACATAGTACGGTGCGGCATCCCATTGAGTGAGGAAGAAACGGCCGCTTTGATCCGGCTCGTCGGTGAACGAGGCGGAGCGCAGGAAGTACGGTCGTGGCAGACATAGGTAGCGGAGGAATAGCCTGCGGGCTGTGAGGACGGTCGACAAGACTGCTGTACATAATGCGGACGGGGCATCGTAGCTATTTAATAAGTGATTAGTTGGTATGTTCATGATTGAGATTAGTGCATATGGCCAGGTACAACACAGCCATGTAAGCATGCAGCAAAACCAAGATAAAACTTACAGCATCGCCTTCCTAAGCCTGTCATCCATCATAAACGATACGGCCTGCAGTCCCGCCGGATGCAACACCTTAGGCAACATATAGACCAACACAGCGGTAGTCTGATCCGCCACCTCACGGCTCTTAACATCAGGCACCATACACCTCGCCTCATACTCCTCACTCCAAGCATCAATCTCCTCGAGCCACTGAATCCCATCCCGGAACCCAGTCTTACCAGACGGCAGCTTCTCATAGCTAACATCAAGCGCATCACCCACGCTCTTCCAGAAAGTCCCGATAGCACAGCGCTCCAAGTCACTCAACTTGCGCCACTCATAGAGATCGATGAACCGAATCGGCTGGAGCGCGAACAGCGCCAGCGTATAGAGCATATCATCATCGAGGATCTTACCAGAGGCCCTATACCCGCTGTGAAGATAGCGCGTCCGGGCAAGACCGAGGTATGCGCGAGTCGAAGCCGGGTTGTTGCCGACCCATTCTTGCACGAGGACGCTGGTGTCTGTGTACCGTTTTAGGGAAGTTTCGGGGCTAGAGAATTGGCTTGTTTTTGCGAGGAGATGGGATATTGAGGGGATGCCGTAGGTCTTTCCTTTTTAGTTAGAAAATTTAGGTATAGATCGATAGGGTATGACCCGATTGTGTGTGGGTTAGGGTTTTTGCTCTCATACCCGGAATAACGCGAATTGTAAGCTCTTGACGAACATGAGAGGGAACTCGAGCTGCGCGACTTGTTTTTGGATTTGGAAGGCTTCTTCGTCGGTCATTTTGGACATCGACTCCCGTGTTGGGTAGGCATATTGCTTGTGGAGCTTGCGCAGGCGTTGGAACCGCAGGGTTGTTGTTACTGCTGGCCATGCGAGGAGGAGGCCTACAGCGTAGGGGAGTAGGGCTGTCATGCTCCCTGCAGGTAGGGATGAAGCCTAGGTATCGGTGTAATTGAATTGTGATAATTTGGGTAGACCTTGACTGGGGATTCCGCGAGGTTTAAATAAGAAATGTGGTGCTCTGGTGATCAACGGCACAGGTCACTTTATCCCCGCTTTTGTTCACTTTTTTGTGCAATCTGGCGTACATAAGACCCCCGCATATCTCAATTACCCACAGAGAGCAGTATGATTTACCTTTGCAATTAGGTTGACTTTAATCCACAAAATATAATTGGATGATTCAATGTTTCAAACGCGGGGGTACCCGAAATACCGAGCCTCGGGAGAACGAATATCCATCCACATTCCCGCGCTAACTGATATATGTGAGCTGGGCAAGCCATTTTGTGCACAATGCATGCGGTCACGCCTAGTATGCCATGGCGTTTACTAGTAAAATTAAGTCAACCATACGCCTAGGAACAATGCAACTTTGCATTATTTAACTCTATTGAGGTTCACATCGGGTCTTTACAGTTCCCATGCTATACTCTCTGGTTTACGTTGAGGGGATATAAAATGTGCTCCACACTTCCTGGCACGTCACTATGCCAACACGTAAAAAGAGTAGCACACCACTAGCGACCAATAAATTTGAGCTCCAATGCCCGTAACGGTGGGAAAAATATCGCAGTGAAGCCCGCACCCAACCAGAGACCCAGATCAGCTCCATCAGCCATCTGAGCGATGGGGCCGGTATAATACGCTTGAGACTAAATTTAAGTATTAGCAAGAGGCGACT